TCACTCCAACCCGTCTATATCCTTCTGATATTGAGGGCTCCACAGCTGGACGCAGCACTCCAGGTGGGGTCTCACCAGAGCAGAGTACAGGGGCAGAATCCCCTCCCTCGACCTGCTGGCCACACTTCTCCTGATGCAGCCCAGGATATGGTAGCAGCCCAGCTACGGAATAGATGGCTCTGTGTGAATACTGGTGATGAGAAAGAGGCAAAATACTGCCTGTGATACTGTCCTGGATGGACTGGAGAGCTCCAGTTGCCCCAGTAACCAGCATGCCAATGCAGCCTCTGGTTTCCTGTCCTTTGCGGCTTTTTCTGTGGTTGCAGGAAAGTGAGACAAAGAAAACAGAAAAGCTGAAACTGCTCGGGGGTGAGGACTCTGGTTTTGTTGGGGCAGTGTTGCATTTAGGGGTATTTTTCTTTTTTAGACAACTGAAACAGCTCAATACCCTCCCTTGCTTGGTTCAGAAGCAGAAATAAGAGCATCTGTAACTTGCACAAAACCATCTTAGAGAAGGAAAAAAGCCCAAAACCAAACTGCTACTGACAGAAGAGGGTAGAAAAGGGCAGGAGAAGGAATCCACTTATCCCTCAATTCACTAGAGTAGTATCTGATTTAAGCTCCACATTTTTAATGTTTACCTGAACGCCTGTGACCTGGCAGGTTGTCTTGGCAACTCCCCTTTATTGAGTCCATTTCTTTCCCTTCGTTTACTCCACAGCAGTTAATCTGGGTTTTGTCTTAACCAGACTAGCACGTAAGAGCCCCCAGCAGGCCCATCTCTGCAACATAAACTCCTGCATACACTCTGTGTGCAGCTTTAAACCGTGTCGAGTCTCGGGCCGCTATCCCTGTGACTTACTCCCTAAACTGGGCGTTGACCATGAGCAGTGCCGCGCTTGGCCCCCTCATCACTCTTTGCTCAGACTATCCCGTGTGTCCTCCAGCAGGACTTCGATCGCTTCTTTCACTTTTAAGGCACAGTAGGATTTGGTGTAGTGCTGCCTTCCCGGGCACGGAATGTCAGCTTTTCCAGCTGTTTCCCGAAGGTCAGAATAGCAGCTCTTTGGGAGCCACCTTCCTGCTGGGAGCAGGTTGCGCTTCCTCCCTGGGCAAGGTCAGAAGGGGCCAGGGTGTGTGCCCTGGGCTGGGCACTGAGCACCTGCTGCACCCCTGTGGTTGCCATGGCCTTTCTGTGTTGGGTTTTGTTTTTTCCCCAGGTTGTGCTCTTCAGCTGTTAAATACACAGCACGATGGTCAGCTGAAACGATCTTCAGCAGCATTTTAATAAGTCCCAAGATGATAACGGACCATATGCCCGACGTTGTGCTCAAGGCGCTGAACAGTCTGTCTCAGGAACGCGGATTGTGCATCTCCTGTCGAACGCGAGAATGTAACGCCGAGGTGGCGTAACCACGGCTCGGAGCCGGGGTGTGGGGCTTTTCATGGCTGGGCTGAAGTAGTCGGGACACATTCCACTTCCATACCTACGTGGACTGCAGTACTTTGCTCACACCCCATAAAACAAAGAAGGGTCTCGGCACCTTTGCCTCTGCAGCGACCCTCGCGCCACGGAGCTGGTTAAAGCGCAGGTTCTGCACTCGCGCCCCAGGTTGCGCTTTTGCAGAACGGCACAGGCTGTGGAGGCCGCTGGCGTGCGAGAGCCACGGTGGCAACGGACTACTTGACACAAGTAAGCACGTGCGTGGCGACAGTGTGGCCAACTTGGCAGCGCAGAGCCCTCCCAGACCTCAAAAACCATTTTAAATCCAGTTCTGCTTCAGTGGCACTTCACGTCATCTTGGGGTACTGCGAGCGGCCCAGGCCAAGCCAGGTGGGCACTGGAGGAAAGGTGTGTGCTGTGGGGGCCACGCTGCGGGGCCCGTGCTGCAGGGCAGGCATGGAAGCAGCCAGGCTGTGGGGGGCCGGCAGCAGGTGCGGGGGCTGCCCTGGGGCTGTTCTGACTTGTTGCACGTGTGGTTTTACAGACCATCGTAGTACCCCAGGGCGGGGGAGGGGGTGGTAAGTGCTGCTTGGGCATACGTGTGCAATATTCTTGAACCTACCTGTGTCCTGTACATGTTGAGCTACGAGAATACTTTTCTGAGAACAAAAAACTGTTCGTGCTCTGGCGTCACCTTTGTCATGAGCTCCGGCCCAGAGTTGCGTGAGCCAAAACTGTATAACCACTCTACGGAGTTTAAAGAAGTGAGGTCCTTGTCTCTAGTGTGCAACTCCAACTTCTTTAAGGCCCAGCAGCATTTCTTCTTGAAGGAATGGCTGGAGGTGAGTAAACCGCGCTGTGGTTGAGAACAGCCGTGTGGGTGTTCCTGCTGCGATACCTCACGCGGCGACAAAATCAAACGCACTTTGAAAACCGGTCTTGCGCAGTGCGGGGACACGGGGGCGTGCCCAGCACGAGGCTGTAGCTGTTGAGGCAGCTGGGGGCCGTGCAGCAAGGCGAGAGGGCCTAGCCCTGGCTACCCCCGCAGTGCTGCTGTCCGAGTAGGGCAGCTCACTCTTCGGCGCGGGGGAGTGGGGGTTAAGTTTTAGAGGAAACAACGTAAAAACTTTTGTTTGGACACAACCGCGAGAAAGAGGTGTTCATCCCCTGGCTGGCAGCAGCTGTATACCCTCGTAGCAGTCGCTGGAACAGTAACACAAGGCTGAAGAACCACTGCCAATGCCGTATTCAACTCCGGCTGAAAGAGCCAGCAGCTCACCCGCCCGCCCAAGGAGATGGCACCCCCCCAGGGCTGCCAGCAGCAGCGCCACCCTGCTCAGCGGCACAAGAACACAAACACTACCACGTGTGTGATTCAAGGGTTTATTAAGTCATACATGCAAAACATACTGCTAATTGCATTAGCAAAAGATCCATGTAAAAACATCACAATTTTGCCACTTGTATTTTTAAATTCTGCTGTAGTGGTTGGAAGGGTGTAGTTCAGCGCTCGGATCCTGCCCGCCGAGGATGCACAGAACATCAGCACTAGCTTACTAAACCCCCAGACCCCAGCCCGCATTACCCGGCACGCGCTCACGGCATGAGAGACCCCTGGTCCGCATGGGGTTACGGCAGTGGGACGTCTGGCAGAGAGTGAGCTGTGAGACGATCCCGGAGGTTAGGGAGCATTGAAATTCAAAAGGTACTCAAACGTGTAAAGCTGCTTCACATGATTTTTACACCTAGTTAGTTACGTGCTTTCCGAGGCACTCTTAGTCTACTTACTGGATCAGAAATAACAGAAAAATAAGGAGGATATGCTTGAACATTCTACTCTACCAAAAAAAGAAAAAAGCAAGTTTCTATCACCAGAAAGGGTTTAAAATACAGGTTATATTGCTCAGTGAGGTTCTAGGAGAAAAGCGTTTACTACAACAGCTGTGGGAAGGACTGGTTCAGAGCTGTACCTACACCAAACACCCTACCTGAAATCCAGAGGCATTTACCTGGATCACCAACCTGCTGCATCACTAGGCCCTGCTGGCACCTGCCCCAGCAGGGTAAACCCGGCTTCTGCACAGCCTCCAGCCCCTGCCTGGCACTCCCATTCCACCCACCCCAGCATTTCCTTTATCCATCACACGCAGTGCTGGCAAAAGGACCAGATGGACTTCAGTGAGAAGAGTTATTTATTTTTGAAATCACAACAGCAATTACTAGACTGCAACCAAGCCCTTACCAAGGATAAAGCGTTTTACACTGCGACTCGAGGCTGTCAGTCACTCCAGCCCCTGCCTGGCACTCCCATTCCACCCACCCCAGCATTTCCTTTATCCATCACACGCAGTGCTGGCAAAAGGACCAGATGGACTTCAGTGAGAAGAGTTATTTATTTTTGAAATCACAACAGCAATTACTAGACTGCAACCAAGCCCTTACCAAGGATAAAGCGTTTTACACTGCGACTCGAGGCTGTCAGTCACTGCCAAAGGCTACGACGCCCCGCAGTGACGGGGGGTGAGAAAACACACAACCATAACAGGTTGGAGCGCAGTGTTTCGCTGGCTGCATGGTACTGTTACTTACTGTGAAAAACTAGAAAGTGTTTCTGTGTTTCCTACCACAAATTAGAGTCATCTTGCAAGAAGAATCTTTAAAAAAGTTTAGTGCTTAGTGTTCGCAGCACAACGACGCAACTTAGTTCAGCAGACAGTTTGGCAACACTTAATTGAGCAAGAATAGGGTTTTAAAAATAAGGCTTTACCCGGGTTTGTCTTTTCGGGAGCTTGCTTCTAGAAGATGCAAGGTACCTTTCATACGTTAAACCACTGAAACTGAGAAATCGTTGGTTCAAGAATTTCTGGGAGAGAACTAATTTATAACAGAAAAACTTGGCATTGAGTGTGAATGCTCCATTGTTCCGAGCAGCGCATGGGGTTTGGGGTGGGGGAGGGTAACATCTACAGCAGCAGACATTTTCTCTTCCTCTTCTTTACAGGAGGGGGGCACAGAACTGCTCGAATAGCTTCGTCAAACACTGTCTTGAGGCCTCGCTGCGTAAGTGCCGAGCATTCTAGGTATTTCACTGCACCTGTGGAAACACAGAGGCAGTTAAAAGCAGTTTGCCATGATTACAGCAGCACGGCTCCCAGTTCACTCCACGAGAAGGGCCAGGCATTTGTTTTAGCTAAGGTACACCACTTTCCACAAACACAACTCAGACCAAGTCAACAGCCACCCCACTGCCTTCATACCTATCTCTTTTGCCATGGCAAGGCCCTGTGGGTAGGTGATGGGAGTCAGCTTCTTCTCCTTCAGCTTTTCAATGGTGTCCTTGTCATCCCGGAGATCGAGTTTGGTACCCACCAAAATGATGGGGGTGTTGGGGCAATGGTGCCGCACCTCAGGATACCACTGCAAGAGAACAGCGTCGGTTGTGTGGGGGCAGATTTCCAGGAAAGCTCCAGCCTTACAGCTGCAAGGCTCCCAGCCCTGCTTGACACTTGCAAGAGTCAGAGAGTACAGAGGAGGATGCAAGACCCCATTAAAAAAGAGCACGCATTTTTAATGAAGTGGCAGGTATTTCCAGATGCTTTCCAAGTGTATCCTCTGATGGGCTCCTTCCAGAACCACCCTGTCCTGCCCTGGCCCTTGGAGACTGAGGCCTCCACAGTGCCATGCAGCCGGGCTGCAGCAGCAGCAGCGCAGGGGTGGAATGCTGACTGATTTAGAAACCAGTCCTATCAACCTACTTCTTACATGCATTTGGGGTTTTAGCATTTTTCAATTTGAACTGCATGAAAAGGACAGTTCCTGTTTGTGATCTCAGCACCCTGTTGGCTGAAAAGCCTTGAACTGCATCAAGGAACGACTCGTACTTAGTGTTTCACAGGCCCTGAACTTCCAAAGCTCAGCAAATGGCTTTCTGCCTTTCCAAACTGCATTTCACACTGTTTGAAAACAAAGGTAAAAAAAAAAGACATCACCTACTGTTTTCTGGAACTGCTGTCAAGTGAACAGTGTTGAACCCTCAGAAATGGTGTGCTAAAAGCCTGCACTTACCTTAGCACGGACATTTTCAAAGGAAGCAGGGCTGACCAGGGAAAAGCAGATCAAGAAGACATCCTACAAAACAAGTTGAGAGGGGTTAGCCCAGCAGAGCAACCATCAGAAATCTCATCACCGAGAAAAGTCCAGTACCACCAGCATCTGTATCGCACTCATCAGTCATCTGTGACACTCGCACAGGGCCAGGTTGACAACAGCTGTACGTGACAGTCAGAGGCAGCTTTCCCAGTAGGAATCCATTCCCAGGCAGCTACAAGCAGACACAAGGGGGGACCAAGATGACAGAGACTGTAATCAGGTTTATAATCAGCTGTTGAGCAGCCAGCAGCTAACATCCTAATGCCACTGCACTGGGAGCTTTCTGCCCTAAATGTCATTTTTCTCCCTCACTGACATTCAGAGAAAAGCCCCACAGACTGCTGATCCCTGGCAAACGCAGGAAGCGATGAAGTCGTCAGACTGGCTTCTGAACTGGGCTTGGGTGCTCTCTGCAGAACTGAGCAATTTAAGCCTCGGAAGACCCATAACTCATCGGCACAGGATGTGCTAGGTGTTCCCTGCTGGAACTAGTTATTAAAATCCAAATACACTATCAATGTACTATAAGTAGTCTTAAACTGCAAAGGATACGGTATGGGGTTAAAAAATGGTAAAACAATAGTTTCTACAATTATTACTTCCATGCCTGAATCAGAAGAATCTTGTAGAACTGTCAGGTCTACTAATGTCAACATAAAAAGGCTTCAGGATTTCTCTATAACCAAATGAGGATTGAGAAGGGTATTAAAAACATCAAAGCTGCCTTCTTCCCCTTCCAAATGACGAAGCAGCAGAGACAAAAGTGGGTATTTGCAGGGATCGCACACAGCTTGCTTTTCAGCCGAAGGCAAAAGAGCGAGCAGGTAAAACACTGGAGGAAACGCTTACCCTCTGCCATACAGCACACTGCGAAAACCCTGCGCAGCCCCGTGCCTAGCAGGCTGTGGTCTGTGAGCACCCCAAAAGGACGTTCTGCTGTCTCACCAGGTGGAGACTGCCATCTTGCTGTACGACCCAAAACTCCATAAGCATCTCTCAAACAAGCCCAACTTTCCCCAGCCTACCTCCGCGGTCGAACTTATCCCAGAGGTGTTAAAGAATCAGGTGTTTTGGAATGTTAGTTGATTGTGCGGCATTCTGAGGCGTTCTGTTAGGTCAGCATCTGACATCCGCACTGCTCAGCACTTGCAACCCACTCGTTCATGCACCACCCCAACAAGTTTCCACAGCAGCGTCCCAGAAGACAGAACCAACATCGAACAGTGTGATATGATGGCCACTACTTCCGCGTTCCAGTTCCACAGGTTTGCGGTGACTGCAGTCCGGCACATCCTGCGGACTTTCTCCTTTGCTAGCTCCAGAGGGTTCCAAAACAATCCGGGCAGCCTTCAGGAACCATTTGAGCACTTCCTGTGCCTTGCACACTAACAACCTCAGGGAGTAGGAGGAGAAGTTGTTTGTTTGTGAGAAAAGGTTTTGTTTTAGCAACTCATATAAAGCAATTTGGTAACAGTTCTCAGCAGTTTGATAGTCCCAAGAACAGTAGTTGTTTAAAAAATAGGGGCCAATTTATCACTAGTGTAAGCAAGACAAGATGGCAGAACTTGGAACTGAAGTGTAAAGTTTTACATACGGCGATAGGCTGATCTGTCAGACTGGAAGATCTATTCCTACCATTGGTTGCTCCAACCTAGTAACAGTAGGAGATAAAGTTACTCCTCAAATGGATTTGAGGGAAAAGGTTCTCAGTCAGTGACTTGTGCTCACAAATATTCACAAGATGGCTTTTCTTGAGAGACCTGGCCTTGTAACGCAGCACAACCGGCCACCTGCATCCAGAGTTGACCACCGAACTGCCCCTAAACCTGCCGCCGTCTGCACTGCCGCAGGCCACCTCCTGAAAAGCATCCCCCACCTGCATGTCCTTTTCAGTCTGGTCTCCTGAGGAAAGTAAGTTAACCACCTAAGCCTCCGTTTCTGTCCCAAGTTCTTTTTTCCCAAATATTCAGAAATATTCAGGAAAGGGTATTCAATTCCTGTATATTTTAAGGAAAATAAAGAGACGAATAAGGGAAAAGATACAAATTAATGCCCCTGTGGTGGCAAAGTCCTTCTTGTGCAGTTAACAGCCGCGTGAGCTGCTGGGCCACTGACAGACACACTGGCCAAGTCACCAGCGGTACCTGCATTTAGTTGCCCCGGGCCTAGTTCAGGCGCAGACGCAGGGAAACGGGGCCACGAGAACATGCCAGGGTGAGTTTTACACAGCACAGTAAAGGGAGGGGCACGTTGAATGCAGATCCTGAAAAGAGTCAGGCTTCATCAGCTCCACTCCTACACCATGTGCTTTTTGTCAGCTTTGTGGTGGTTTTGTCCCTTAAGTGACAAGGAGCCGGACATCCTGTACAAGTCCAAGATCTGAAGACTGCTTCCTAAGAAGTTCAGGACCTACCACCCTGTCTCCTCTTCTGCTGTAAAAACCAATCCATGTAACTAAAAGTACTTCAGACCTTTACTTAGCAGTCACACATGCTCGTACAGAAGAGATTTTTCCCAAAAGTATGCTCAGATTGACATGGAATTCTGTTGCAGTTCATCAGAAAGCCACAGTTACATTAGCTGACTGAAGACAGGCCCTGTCACAGGGGAGGAACAATACAACCCTTGCAACTCTGCTTTCTCACACTACTGAGTCATCTTTCAACATCTCTTCTTCTACCCTGAGAAAGTTTTTTGAAAATATTTTTACAACGTTAAGTAAAGCTGAAGTTACAGGATACTTGGAGACATCTATGTATTAGAGAAAAAAAGCTTTCCACTGTCTCTCTTCCTAGGAAAGGCAGGTACTTCTGGCATTTCTATTAGTTACTTAGAACTGGCAAGTTTATATCCATCTTGGGTATGGTATCTGATGGGAAAGCCTAACCCCAGGAGTTAGCAAGCAGTGAATTAAGGAAAATTGTGAATTAAGACAGTCATATAAAAAAGCACCAGAGTTAATTTAATAAGATTCACATTATTCAAGAGAGCAGTTATCCTGCAGAAGAACTGGAACAGTTTTGCATTTTATATTATTAGCACTGAATAGATACCTGACATTTAACAACAGTAATCAGTGCCAAAAAACCCAGGAAATTACCACCTTTACTTACAGCACGGCTCCTCGAGATGAAAGTAGCTACTCTAAACAGAGACTAGAAACCAGCCCCTATCGAGACTGTCACTAAGTCACGCTGGAAAGAGCAGCACAGATTACTTCAGCCTTTTCTTTCTAGGAGGAAAGAGGCAGCATGCAGACAGGACTTTGTCAGCTGCCAGCGTGGAAGACAGAAGCACGCAGGTACTGGTGTTAACAGCACAAGCTACGCTAAGTAATAAAACAGCCATGGGCTCAAGTGCATTGGAAAACCCCGACGAAGCCTCTGTCAATACCAGTATCGTCTTCATTCAGTACTGCTTCTTTCCCATTCAGAACATCTTCAGAGACTAAACCAAGTGCTTAGCAGCGACAGTGTCCAGTTGCAGCCAAACAACCCACCTAAAACTAAAACCCAACTCTGCTTCTGGCAGGCATGCTAACCTTAAAATCAACGGACTAGCTGATGGGACTGGCAAAGGGTATGAGGGTTTTGTTTGTTTTCTTATTTCAAGTCAAGCATTCTGGCCGATTCCGAGGCTGGACCTACACAAAAGCCATCAGCATCGGTTTGTACAACTGCACGCACGAAGACTGTAACACTACAACTACAACGGTAGGATGAAGGAAGGTAGCTTGCAACAGATGTCCATTACTAAGGAATACAACTCCAGACACAACGCTGGCCTTTTGTTCAAAAAGAAACACCTTTACGTTAGACAAAGCTGTACAGATTATTTATAGCTTCACACTGTCGTTCTTACTGTTTGCGGATAGGAGAGCGGACGTAATCTGTCATAGTCCTCTTGACCGGCTGTATCCCACAAACCCAGATTGACCGGTTTTCCATCAACCATTACATTAGCAGAGTAGTTGTCAAAACTGAAAAACAAAGAGTTAGCTGTGTTAACTTGCAGTAAAACAGGGCACCCAAGGACTTTTTCCTACAGAGTCCTAATTGGGAACTCTACAAAAGGAAACATCTCTGTTGCGTCCTTCTGCTCCCCAGAAACAGTAACATTGCTCTTTAAATACTAAGCCGGGTTATTGGGTAATGGAAGTGAAAATATGCACGAGATCCTCTGAAAAGGAGTCATATTTTTCACTGCTCTTCCAAGGAAGTGTTGATTTCAGTAAGTACAGGAGAGCAGGTGATGCACTCAGCACGCACTTTCCAGTCTCAGTGGGACATTCAGCAAGTTAATCTGCCTCATTTTCTAAGACTTCGAAGTTACATGAGCAACAACCAAGAAAGGAATCCCTAATGACAACAGTACATAAGGGAAAAAAACCCCTAATTAATCCTGCTAATCAAAAACCTCTCCAATGAAATATAAACGTTAATAACCAGGGACCGGTAGAGGCATAATTTTTTACATCAACACTACTGTAGGTGCAAAGGTTTTAATGACTTCTTAAGGCTAAACTGAATTCACTGGGAATACAACCATACTGTAATGCAAAAGCCTGAATTTAAGACCCAAAACAAGGAAACAGGTGTAATTAAGACAACAGGGTCTTGGAAGTGTAACTAAAGTAATCCGTAAATATCAGCAAAATGTATCCTGTTATCTGAAAAAGTCATCAATACTTGGAGAGAGCAAGGCAGACATATGAACAGACACATCCAAAAAGGGCAAAGCAGCTGCTCAGGTATAGAACACCTCCCCCAACAAGCCCCCAAGGAGAGAACTACACTAATACTGATACTGACAAGTCCTTAAGTGCAAGAAAATGGGAATCACTAAAATAAATGAGTCCCCACAATCTTGTCCAAGGAGCTGGAGAGCTGTGGCTGGCTTAGCACAGGATTGACAGTATCACAGTCCTGGACAAGCCCCTGATTCTTACAGGGGCCTGTAGCAACAGGACAAGGGGTAACGGGTTTAAATTGAAAGTGGGGAGGTTTAGATTAGATATCAGGAAGAAGTTCTTCCCAGAGAGGGTGGGGAGCACTGGGACAGGTTGCCCAGAGAAGCTGTGGATGCCCCATCCCTGGAAGTGTCCAAGGCCAGGCTGAATGAGGCTTGGAGCAACCTGGTCTGGTGGAAGGGACCTGTCAATGGCAGGGGGGTTGGAACTGGATGGTCTTTAAGATCCCTCCCAACCCAAACCATCCTGTGATTGATCTGTGTGACAAAAAGTGGAAAAAAAATGGAAAATGAAAAATCTTTAGTCAGGTAAACCAACTGTTTCTGACCACCACAGAATGTTTTACCAGCTGTTCAGCCTTGGGACTGCTTATTACGAACTCTATTAACAGACAGAAGGAACATACTGTTTTAGAAGAGCCCAGCATCTGATACAGTGCTGGCGGATGTTAGCCCCTAGTACACTAGGCCTAGAGGGCAGAGGGAAAACTGATGGAGCAGAAGCCTGAAGGCTCTGTACGCACACTTGGATACTCAGTTAAACGTTGCAGATCAAACTGAGGGGTGCCTGCAGACAGTTCAAACAATTCCGATGAGGAGCATGGAATGGCAGTAAGCACAGAGAAGTTGACAGAAATAAAATACTAGGATTTTAGAAGTACTTACACAGTGGGTATATATTCCCCAGGGAATGCATTGGTTGTGTAGCTGATGAGTAGGCATGTTTTACCTACAGCACTGTAAAAAGAGAAAGTTCACATGTAACACACAGGTATCTTGAATAATGAGAAATAACATCCCTTTTAGGGATGAAGGCTGATTGCACCCAGTCAGAGCTAAGGAACAATTGAGTGTCAGGAGTTGCTGAGATGCAGGAAAAGAGCTAACAGACTGTAGCCCTAAGGTTACTGGCAAGGGAAACACACCTAATATACACAACCATTTTCTGAAGTCATAAATTACCAAATTTTGTTAATCTTTAGACAAACGCACCCACAAGTATTAATAAGACTATTAACATCTGCTGGTCACTCATCAAGACTGCCTTACTCCAACTCCCTGAAACTAAAAAACACCTAAAAAGTATTTCCAGACCCAAAAGTGCTATCTTTTCCAGAAAATGGTATACTTTCATATAAGTTTGAAAGAGCTTAAAAAGTATAATTTATCAACACATCGATGCATTTGAGGAACAAATACAAATGATAATCCTCACAGTATTTATTGCTACTGCAAAGTAGCTCCCCACATGCATTCCTCAGTTATTTCAGAAACTGATTTATAGACAAATTACATTCCATTGCTGGAGAACTTGGAACACCAAACCTTTCCCCACTGATCTAATTCTGAACAGCCTCAAAGGGGGGCAGGACAAGGTTCTGTTCCAGGTTTCTTTCAAATCTCTGGCAGCCAGCCCTTTCCCTCTCCACCCTCCTCCCCACACCTTACCTAAAGTCAAACATTTGATTAACTACACCATGGAATTTCTGTCACAGTTTCAATTAAAGGCTTGGAAAACTTGAAATTGGATCATATTTCTCTTAAAAAAAGACTCTGCCAAGAGTGTTTCTGCCACTGCAGACTGGTTCCCATGCTGGCTGCTCACTTGAGTGCATAATCCTTTAACAGAGTGAGAGATTCCAGAGGTGAGTGTGCAACTCATTGCTCAAAAGCGATAATGCCCACACAGCCTTGCAGTCTTCCTGATCACCTTCTCAAACAGACAAAACTCCAGTGCAAAGCAAATTGCTTTGTCTTGCAGATGTTTTATCACTGGAACACTTTGCTCAAAGCAAACTACTTTGCTCAGTAGTTTGAAACCTTTCTGTACTTACACATACAATCTTGTCACTAGTATTAGGTTTGTCTCATATGCCAAAAAAAACCCAACAACCAAACACAAAAAAAACCCACCCACCACAAACCCAACCAAAGAACCAAATGCTATTGCTAAAATATCCTATTTTCTTTTAGCTTCTGCAGAAGAAAAAAGGACACAGAAACAAGCTTGGGCTTACTAACTCTCCAGCTGCAGACACTGAGGCATTCCTAGCTGAACTTTACTATGTAACTTCCATTTAAACCACTCACTTTCTTCTCTTGGTCCAGAACCGTCCAGGCCGTCACTTCACTTGCCAAAGGCTGTCTTCAAAACATTCCTTAGAAGGATTTAACACTCAACATTAACCAGCCAGCCCTACCTGGTGACTCACCATTTAAGGCAGTGCAGGCAGGTCAAGTAAATCTGAGCTTTGTCACAACTGTAACTTACCCACTGTGTTGTAGCTCAACCCATAGCAAGTCTCTCCGTTACACCTGAAGCAGTTCCATACTGCGTTAGCTCCAGTGGTTGATAGCAGCATCTGACATTACCTTAACTGCCTGAGCTAGGAAAGAGTTGCTTCACTATACTAATAAAAAATCCTATATCTAGGATTTTAGCCCACATGCCCATTTCTTTGCTGTGATCTTATGTTTCTGAGCTGACACCTAGCGTGACGCCTCATCTGCTGCAATGCTCTGATCATATCCTGCAGTTTTCCACACTGCTTCTAGGAAACAAGATGCCAGCTCCTTGCACAGCACGAGATGTCCCCGTCCCCATGCACACACTCTCTTTTACCAAGCTGTAACAGCAACAAGAAAGGGGTCATTTAATCCTGTTCTGGCAAGTACAATCTCTGCACATTCTCCTGCAGTAACAGGCTCCAGAAGTACTTGTGCTCAAAAGCAGGAGGGGAATTTACCCTTCAAAAACTTCCGTGGGAAAGACCAGGAAGCAGTAAGACAAGGCAGGTAGCCAATTTCACAGCTGTCAAAAAAGGAGGTCCCATCTCACCTCCTGCACTAGCACCCCCTGACTAACGAACCAGAACAGGGAGCTCAGGAAGGCTACTTGCCCTGCCTCCCCGGGGAGGGCAACTCGCTGCTTCAGCTCCCCGAGCTCCCAGGGCAGCTTGCACAGAGGGAACTGCACTCAACACACCAAAGCAGGCTACGCTGGTCCACCTTAGGAAGGACAAACATGAAAACCTTCATGATACCAAGAGGAGCACCAGCTGGCTTCTTCAGGGAACTTCTTGAGGCACAGAGGCGACGTGTTCTCACGCCTCTAAAACTTGTTTGGTCTGACGCTTCATTTTCCAGTAAGTTCATTACGGTTAATTTCAGCTTCTAACAAATTAATGTTGAACTCTACATTTTCAGCAGTGGATCAAGAACTTTTCTCTGCAGCCAGGCTCCTCTGCTCAGCTTGCACTGGCTAATCAAAACAGCACGAGAAGGCAGTGAGATTTTATTCCAAGCTTAGAAGTGTCTGTAGTGGGTTTCTGGCAGCACCTATCAGCCAGAGTCATTTAAACAAGAAAACACATTCAACAACCCTGTTTCAGACTAGCTCCATCTAGGTTTCCTGCCTGCCTTGTCTTCTGGCTCACTGCCCTACAAATCAGACCATTATGGTCACCAGTCTCAAACACTAATGCCCACCTTCATAAATAAAGTACATCCTCGAAGTACTTTATCAACCAGTTTAGACTTCTAACTTCTGTATTAAAGCAACTCCCTCAAAAAGAATTCCAACTGTGTGGCAAAATATCAATCCTTGTACATAAAGGCTGAGACTGAGAAACTAAAATAACACCAAACCAAGATTAGTCATAACAAGATCTCTAGCAACTACTTCATCGTAGCTCTGTCCACCCACTATTACATAAATGAAACTAGTAACATTTGACTGTTATTTAAAAGTATGGCCTACAGAAATATGACATTTTAACCACTTGACAAGCAAAATATCAATCCTTGTACATAAAGGCTGAGACTGAGAAACTAAAATAACACCAAACCAAGATTAGTCATAACAAGATCTCTAGCAACTACTTCATCGTAGCTCTGTCCACCCACTATTACATAAATGAAACTAGTAACATTTGACTGTTATTTAAAAGTATGGCCTACAGAAATATGACATTTTAACCACTTGACTTACCAAAGTGAAAGACTTACCTAAGTGAAAGACTTACCAAAGACAGCACGGAGTCCCTTACTGCTTATAGGTACCATCCAGAGATTAACGTATTTATATAACGACACGTGTATCAACTCCTGAAAACAAAACACGCCATCTCCTTCCTGGCCTTATTTACACTAACACATTTTATGAAGTTGGAGCTTACTGCATTAGAGCTGCTTGAACCATGTTATGCCGCACACACTGAAAATGCTCTTGGAGGACCTGCATGGGCTTTTCTTCCACTCAAAAGGCACCAGAGCCACACAGACAGCTGAGAGTTTCCTGCAGCTGCAAACCTAATGGAGAATTTAGTTCCCACCTGCAGCCGTGGTGCTGGAGGCCAGCTGAGCACTTGGCTGGTTTCATTTCAGAAACACAGATATCAGCAGGCAGGTGGCAGCTTCTCAGAAATCAGTGAGACAATCAGAGCTTGCCTTCTCTGACCACCCTGAACTGCCGCCCTAACAGCCACAGCGCTCACCCGCCCTGGCCTTCACTCAAGCTTTAGACAACAGCCGAGAATTTCCCTTGTACGTGGGTTTAATGACACACGGCTCTGGCAGATAAACTGTTTTACTCACTCTGACACACCCTTTCCCAGGTATGCTGTTGAGTAGCTACAGTGCCACATCTTTTTAAACTTCCCAAGTTACTGCAGTTCAGGTCAGCGCTCTACAGATTGCGCTGGAGGGACCCGAGGTGTTCAGCACTCTGACACTGCACTACACCCCGTAAGAGGCCAATCACAGTCCCCTCCCTCCCCCCTTCTCCACAAGCTATTACATCAAATACAGCGTGGCTGTAGCAGATAAGGCCTCAAATTAAGCAAAATTCCCAACGGCGACTCAACTCACTGTTCTTGTTCTTACAGTATGTCTACAGTTAAGAAATACCTACAGAAGAGAGTGATGTGTGACCATGTCTGGGGCACTCAGTGATCATTTCTCCCAAACGCAGAACCTGCCCTATTCATTACACAACATCACTGGGGACTTCATAGCACATGACAGCTGCCTTTTCAGAGTGACAACAAAAGCTCCCAAGAATTACTTACACCCATGCTTTTTCTTGAGTGCCAATCAACAGCAATTCCTGCAGTTGCTCAAGCAGAGTGCACTGTCCTGCTGCTCCGTATCATCAAGAAGTCGAAGCAACAGTTGCCATTTATTTCTCCCCAGACGATGCTCACAGTGAAGAAAAAAGCAAGGGCAAAATCTGACAGGACAACCAGCCTACGTGCCTGTTTTTCTGGTCAAATTAGCTGACAGATACTAGTCAAAGCTGTTAGAACAAGCATGAGTTAAGGCTAAGAAACTCATTTACTGATTAAAAACCCAATCACAGGTACTTCTACAGCTTTGTTTATTCTGTTCCTAGTAGATCTTTGCAGCGGGTACGTAACAGCCAAGTTTTATACCACATAAGCAAATCTTTAACTTGCATTGTTTTACAGAAACACTACAGTCTTAGCCTTATCTGAACTGCCCGTTACACATTCCCCAGAATATCTGCAGTGCTTGCTGTCGAAGGGAAATACAAATAGTTATAAGCACTTTCTAAACACTGGATGGAGAATGATCCAAAGCTGCCAGAAATGAGCAACAGAACCTGAACTGAACCTTAAGAGAGATTTGTTTCTAACTAAGGAAGAAGGAAAACAAACTACTGTATTTTGTTCACACCTATGTACAACAAGGTTCAGGCAGAATTACGCAACTTTCGT